AGTATCCTTATCATTATTCTTTCATGTAACCATCAAATTTATGCCGAATTTGTGCCCTACAGTTTCTGATATATTACTGGGAACATGATTCTGAATCTAATACTCTGTGTTGATTAAACACAGAAAGCTGTTCTTTCACTGCTAGCAGATGTTCAGAATAAAGGACTGGTGCAAAAACCAGAAGGAGGAAGAAGTAAAAAGAAGACTGTTGTGTCTATGTCTGAAGTAATCATGAAACAATGTCGCATTGTGTTACGTCGTGCTGCTGCTGCTGATGATTCCAAGGTTTTCTGCAACTTGCTGGGAAGAAAGCTCATGAATTCCAGTGATAATGATGATGAAGGACTCCTTGGATCTCCTGCCATGGTAGCCCGTCCTCTGGATTTTAGAACAATTGATTTGAGATTGGCAGTTGGGGCATATGGTAGATCACATGAAGCTTTTCTTGAGGATGTTCATGAGGTCTGGATCTTTTTGCTTTCCATGATAGTAGTGTACTGGTTAAACTTTTCAAAAATATCTTATGATATAACCTCTCGTAAGCGTTTGATAAATACTGTTTGTGGTTAAGTTTTAGATGTGTCTTGTTTCTGAAATATGTGTGGCTGGACTAATAATTTGGATACCAGTATCTGAGTTAACATCACTCTCCAGCAATGGTTGATTGTACAATAATAGTGTAAGAGGTGATACAATGTTGAATATATGTAACTATCTGTATTTATCTGCATGATTTAATGCCAATATTGTGGTCATTTATGTTAGCTTTTATAATGAACTTTAAAGAGTTGGACAATTCCAGCAACACTTGTTAGTGTGCATAGTAAGTCCTCATGTGCATGGGTAGTTCTTTCATTTTATGGAGTCTGCTACTCTACTTCATACCCTCACATTAGCAGAATTTCTGCTAAGAATTGATGCATGTCAGCTACTAAACTTTGATTATTTTCTTTGTTATCATTTTTTTTTTTTTTTTTGAGGCTTTGCAAAAAGGCTTCTATTCATTATTATATATATAAGTCTTTTGGGTGCCTACAGTGAATTCATATCAACAAAGAAGTTCTTGTAAAATCAACAAAATAATTTTTTGTTCTTTGTCTATGTCAGGAAAGAACAGTTCTCTTTAGAGATTAGGGGTTATATTATCCTTCAAGCTACTTCAGCTATAAACCCTCTAGAAATGCTTGATTATATTATATTTTTATTATATTATATTTTCTCATAGAATTTTATCTGATTTTAATTAATTAATTAGAGTTCTTAAGTTTTAACTTTTTATGGCAGACTTTTTTTTTCTTTTTTTTTTGGTTTTTATTCTCCTCTGGCACATTTGTTTTCATATTTCAATTTCAGATCTCATCTTATTAGGCTTATCCCTGTATTCTGTTCTTTTTCATGAATCATGATTCTCTGCATTGCACACTCTTGAACATTGGTGATATTTCTCCATTTAATATCTTTATTAGCCTTTGAAGAATAGTAATGGTTTCTTTCTCTTGGCAGTTGTGGAGTAATGTACATACCGCTTTCAGTGATCAGCCTGATTTAGTTGATTTGGCTGAGTCGTTATCACAAAATTTTGAGTCCTTGTATGAAAAAGAGGTTAGTGAATTTTTCTCACTCTTTTTTCCCTTCAAGTTGTTTAATCAATGGCTGTTAATGTAAGTGGCCTACATAGTTATGTGTTTTGAATTTAAGCATCATGTAATCTTTATGAATATTTCATTGCAGAAGATCTATAGATGCACATGCTTTTTTAACATATTGGTTCATAACAAACTTTAGTTATGTAATTCCTTCAGTGCTTGGCTGCTTGCTTTATCCAACTTATGCTTGTGTAATGGGTTAACTATAAATTTCTGGATCATAATTTTTAGAGTGGTTCTCTATCAAATGCTGATGCAAGGAGTTTTAGAATTAACATTACTATGTCAAATGAAATTGTTGCAAAGCAAATGATTCTCTGCTATCTTAGTTGAAAGTTGAAATGAAGTTTCCCATAAGGGCATAATGAAGGTATGATCAACAGAAAAAAATGTCAACTAGGTAATGACCTCAAATAAGCATGTTTGTAAAGTCATTTTCTACTATTTATAATTTGCATGCCCTTTTTAACGTACCAGAAGCTTCACTTTCTATGAGTGTGGAGCTGACATATGTTCTGTTCTTTAATGAGTCTTCCTGATCAGTCCAACTCGGTCTGTAATGCATTTGCATTTATGAAAGGATGAAAATTTCTAAGCCATTCTCCATATTTTGCTTATCTTGTGATGCAGGTAAGTTCTCTGGTTAAGAAATTTGCAGATTATAGCAAATTGGAATGCTTGAGCACAGAGACAAAGAAGGAAATAAATGAAATACTTGCTTCCACAAATGAGATACCTAAAGCCCCATGGGACGAAGGAGTTTGCAAAGTATGTGGTATTGATAGAGATGATGATAGTGTTCTTCTGTGTGATACTTGTGACGCTGAGTATCATACTTACTGTTTGAATCCTCCACTGGCAAGGATCCCTGAGGGGAACTGGTATTGTCCCACTTGTGCTATCAATAAACGGATGGTTCAAGATGCATCAGAATGTTCTCTAGTTATCAGCCGACGGAAAGATAAGAAATATCTGGGAGCTGTCATCCGTGGATACTTAGATGAACTTGCACGTTTGGCTGCCGTGATGGAGGACAAAGAGTACTGGGAGTTTAGTTTGGACGAGGTTTGTCAGTGGTCATTAATTCCAGCCTTTAATTTCTTGGATAACTTTTAGTCAGTATTTCTATTAAAGTTTGAATCAGTTTGCCTCTATTTATGCTTTATGGTTTGTGCTGATTCATAATGAATCAATAGCAATACTGTGTTGTATGAACCTGCATCACTTTCTGATATTAGAATACATATAGAAATGCATCTACTGTAGAGACATTCTTGTTGCCTTCTGTCTGTCTGTTATAAGTTATGTATCACCACATCAGTTACTCCTGCTCTCTTCGTTGCTATTAAAGTATATCTATCTATGATTTGCAGTTTTTCCCCTCTGTCTGGGAGGAAACTGAGGCCAAATTTGCATTATAATCTGTAAATTTGCTGCTTTGTTTGTGAAATTGGGCATTTGGTTGCATGTTAATCTTCTCGTACCCTCACTGTGGCATGGAAATATTGACTATCAATAACTTGTGAAGGGGAATACAAGGAAAAATAAAGGAAAATAGCCTATGATGTGAATTTAGGATGGATCTAATCATATGGCATTTGCTGGTTATTATGTCTTTGGGATTAACTATGTTTCTGTTTGGTGGTGGCGGGGATTTTTAGGTCCCATTAATGTTCTGTTTTCTGCTTAGGGCATGTGAGTTTGAAACTACAATCTTTGAGATGAAACATCTTCTGCTTTCACTGACATTCTTTGTAACTCTATTTAGTTAGTTGGTATTTGTATACTATTGCAAAACTAATAGCTTCAAGAAAATTTTAAGTTGCATGTATCTTATTTCGTGCCATGATTTTTTAGGTTTTGTGCACAGTTATATTGATCTTTCTGTTATCATGTTTATTTAATTAAGCACTTTCTGTGTATGCAGAGAACCTTCTTGCTTAAGTTTTTATGTGATGAATTACTTAACTCCACTCTTATCCGTCAACATCTTGAGCAATCTGCTGAAACAACATCTGAGTTGCAGCAGAAGTTACGTTCTTCCTATGCAGAATTGAAAAACCTAAAGTCAAGGGAAGACTTTTTGGCTTCAAGAGCTGTAAGGATTGACATGGGTATTCTTAATGCTTCTGGAGAAGCTGGTATGAGGGATGGTGTTTCTAGTGGACATATGGAGCATGGCAAACAGATAGGACAGGCACAGAGCCATAGTATCTTTCTTGATGATCATCCTCCACTGCAGAGTGAGAAAGAGGGAACTGAGACTAATGGCTGTAATAAAGATGTTTCTGCTACTTGTACAGAGAAAAATTCTGATTCTGACAGCCAACTCATGAATCATGTAGATACTGAAGCTGAGTCAAATGGTTCCTGTGCAATTGTGGATGAGAGCAAAGTACCTTCCCAAAAATGTGGTAAATCCATTACTTCAAATGAGTTGCCTTCATCAAATAATTTGCCCAAAGAAGTTGATGACTCTGGGACAGAAATATTTGTACAAGGCAACCTGCAGGAGTCCAAGGAAAGGGATGATGCTACACCACCTACAGATCATGATGAATCTTGTCTCCAGTCTGATAAAACGGATGTGCCAAGTCTCAAGGCAGCTCAATGTGTGAGTCCTGTTGCTGATAATGAGTCACAAGGTCACAATGTTGAGTTGAACACCATCAAGAGTGATATTAAGCACCTGCAGGACTTAATTGTTAGCTTAGAAACTCAGATCTTGAAGTCATCTTTGCGGAGGGAGTTTATGGGATGTGATTCTGGTGGCCGAATGTACTGGATTTCAGCTGCACCAGGTGGTTATCTGCAGGTTATTTCTGATGGATGTTTAGCAATGAAGCAGAGAAGAAACTTACTGGATTATGGTTACCAGGATTATAACAGTTCAGCTCAGCAAAATTTTGCTACATTGGGCTCAGATACTCATTTGAAATTAGAAGGATCTAAAGCTTGCTGTCCATTTCTCTACAATTCCAGTGAGGCCCATGTGATAGGCTCACCATGTGTTTCCTATCAAACTGATTCAGAAATTGAAGAACTCATTAATTGGTTGAATGATAATGACCCAAAAGAAAGGGAGCTGAAAGAAGCTATTTGGCAAAAGCTTAGGTTTCAGGATTCCCATCAAATGAAAAACCAAGATCAGAATGAGAAGCAGCAATCATTTTTCTCAATGTCCACAACTTCCGATGGAGCTACATTTTCCAGTTGTCTTGTTACTAAGGCAGCAATGTTGCTGCAGAAGTATGGTTCCTACTCTGAGTCAGAAATCACCAACTCTCTCAAGAAAATGGGGAAAAGGGCAAGATTGACAAATGAAGAAAAAATGAACAGGTGTGGATGCTTAGAGCTCATTTGGCCTTCTAGAAATCATTGCCTCACTTGCCACAGAACATTTTTCACTGATGTGGAACTCCAGGAGCATAACAATGGAAGGTGTGATCCAGGTGCAGCAGCTAAGGAGAAGTCCAGTGAAATCAATGATTCTCTAAAAAAGAAGGGAAATGGGAAGTCTGATTCTGCTCAGGTTGATTGTACTGTTGATATGGACAGGGTTGAAACTTCAAGAGTGATCAAATTTCAAAATGAAGAGGCGCCATGTCCATATGACTTTGAAGAGATCAATTCTAAATTTTTCACAAGAGATTCTAATGAAGAATTGGTACATGAAATAGGTCTTATCAGTTCCAGTGGAATCCCATCATTTATCCCATCTCCTTTTTCCTGTGAGTCTATGCTGATATCAGTTCCGCCTCAAGAAGTAAGCATTTCAGGGAATGAGTTTGAGGCTACTGAGAATGTTTTCTCACATGGAAAGAAAAGTGTGGCTAATGGAGGCAATGGAAGTCTATCCAATAATCCATCTAGAAAATCTGTTGCAAATGAAATTTGTGAAGTACAAAAGACCAATAGAGTGGCTTTGAAATGTTTGGAGCAAAGGGATAGAATATCCTCTTCAGATAGGCATTCTACAGGACTGGGGAGTGGTCGCTGTTTTGTAGTCCCCCCATCTTCATTGAGGCCACTCGTGGGTAAGGCTTCACAAGTATTAAGACAACTCAAGATCAACTTACTTGATATGGATGCTGCACTTCCTGAAGAAGCTTTACGACCATCAAAGGCACACTTGGAACGAAGACAGGTCTGGCGTTCATTTGTTAAATCTGCAGAAACAATATATGAGGTTGGTTTCCACCCCTTGGCTTCATTTGGTAGTTAGTACAATCTATAATCACCAGAAACACAGATGCCTCATCTATTTCTTCTGTAATTTTGAACTGACTTAGGAGATCATTTTTAGATTAACCGTAGTGAGGAAAATAGAAATGGTAGATAAATTTTGGTTCTACAACTCAGTTTTGCTGTTATTAATTTATAATAACATTAAAAGTGAGATTGGTTTATTGGGAATTAATTTCTATTTTTCCAGATGGTCCAAGCAACTATTTTATTGGAGGATCTGATTAAGACTGAACACTTGAGGAATGAGTGGTGGTATTGGTCATCACTATCAGCTGCTGCCAGAATTTCCACTGTGTCTTCTCTTGCTCTGCGTATATACTCCCTGGATGCTGCCATTATTTATGAGAAATCCAATTTTGATCCCATTGATAATTCAAAGCCCAGCAGTGTACCAGATCCAAAGCTCCTGTCCTTTTTGGATCCTGCAGAAAAGTGCAAAGTAACCAGGAAATCTGGCAAGAAAAGGAAGGAATCAGAAGGTTGATAAATGGACTAAGATTTTCATAATCAAAGTTAATCCTTGTTGTAAGGAAAGCTGGTAGCAGAATTGACAGGTGAGAATAGAAATGGTCCTTAAATCAGAACCAAAGTGTGGGTTTTTCTGGTTCAAGTTGATGCTGAAGACATTTTGGAAGACCAAGAGTTTTGCTGCTGCCGCCTAATGTTGTGTATATATAGATGAAGCTGACACGCTAACATGGATGCTCAACTCTGAAGCAGAATTCATGGAATTGCCTGCCCATGGACTATGGTGTTGGCCAGCATCAGATCTAATTGACAAGCTAGAATGCATCCAGTTTTGAACTGATTTCTGCTGCAGCTTTTGAAGTAGTTAATGGAAAGATAGGCGAAGCAGAAGGTCGTTTCTCATAGAGAGCAAGGTCCATATACATATACAAAATGAATTTATGTAAAAAAAAAAAAAAAATGAGAAAAGGAAAAGAAGGGATAAAAGTTGAAGCAGAGCAGATGTAGGCAATATTTGATTCTTTATACCCTCTCTCACAGATGTGCTGGTTACAAGAATGAATTTTCACGCATTCTATTAAATGAAGTTTTTGTAGCTGGCATGCCTGCTGTTTCACGATTTCAGTAATGCTCCATCTTTGTCTCTTACCTTCTATATTCTGTTTTTAAGTGGATGGGTACTCATATTAGTTCTTTTATGTCAGTCTTAACTGGCTCTCATCAATCAGAGATAAAAAAAAAATTAAAAAAAAAAAACAAAAACCGGGCTTCTTGGGTTTTAAATTGAAAATATGATGAGCTTTCTTTGTAGGGCATGTTTCTTCCAGTAATTGCTTGATCTTGGGACTCAAATCCTTCTATAAAAGCCGTGAATCTGCTGCTGCCACATGACAAGCAACAGGTACTTTCTTTCTTGTTCCACTATACTAATGTTTCAAAAAAAGTTGGTGGGTTAGAACTTATATTGCACTGCTTTTGAAGATTTGTTGGATCATGCATCTTGAACGATTACAGATGTCTGCAGTTCCATACTTCCATGTATGATTGAATCTAAACTATTTCCGAATTATGTTTAAATTTGCTTTAGATATCTGTCAGGTGGGTGTGTGTGAGTTGATGATGCTTGAAAAGAATCCTCTACCTCCCAAACCCAACCCCACAAAATAAATATTAAAAAAATCGAGAAAAAGGATTGTGGGTCAATGTGCACATCAGCTATGATTCAAGGATGAGATAAAAAAAAAAGGTGGTTGGGTGGGGAAGAACATATTCTATTGAAATTCGTTGAAGTTTAGGGTGGGCTGACAGTGTCCAGTGAGTAATATAGACCTAAAACACAGCAAATTCTGTGTATGGTTTCACACACTTTGAGTTGATTTCAAACAGGTTGAGTATATATTTCATCAGTATTACAACACGACACACCATTGACCAGGAAACATTTTATTCACATACGTTGTCCCCTACACAGAGAGCTTGAATCACCAGTTTGAAGGGTACAGTTTTTTTTTTTGTTTAATTGTTTTTACCTGGTTTTCCTTGAGATACATTTTAGTCTTTAGCTGACATTACAATAGCAATACAAAATATATATGGAAGGGAGTAATTACTAGTAGCATGTGAAGCAGCCCTTAATTTGGCCACACCCACCAGTCTAGAGCCTCTTCATGCTGCTGTTGCTGCTGCTGCTGCTGACCAGTGACTGCGAACACATCTGAGAAGTAGCTCCGGCCATCATCACTGCCATCGTCCTCCTCTGACTGGACACCATCTACAGGCCCCACACAGCCGGGGTATTCATCACTAGGGAAGTATGAATCACCACTGTCCACGAGCTGTGGACCATCCTCGTCCTCCACTTCACTGCCACCACTACCAGTGCTCAACCTGTCCTCAGCCTTGACACGGTGCTGGAGGGGAGAAACATTGATGATTTCCACCGGGAGGGGATCCGCCCTTTGACCTGGCGTTTGCTCTGTGACCACTTGCTTAGCTTGAAGTTTCTCAGTTAAAGAGGCAACCTGCAGATCACAAATAATCAAATATACCATTCCTATCAGCAAACTTTACAAAGAATTAGTCCATGCATATTTTCAGAAAGCTAAAAGGTATATTCCTCTCCTTTTATAAACTTTGAAACTCTTTCAAATCAAGGTGGGGTTTTAAACGGATGCTATGTTACAAAACACGTCTTGTTTGTAAAGTCGAATCTCATCAGCATGACCCACCAGAAGCGGTAGGTCCTAGAAGATGACATAGCAAAACACCTTGTGAGCCGTGCTCTTTGCTAAATTCCCTCTTCATCTAATCTCATAGATAAGAACTAAATATGGGTAGTCTCATCAAAATTGCTGGTGGGTGAAATACTTATCCATAAATCCCATGGGATTGGACTTTGATTATGATTCATCATTTGAGGAATTCAGTTCTTATTTTGCATTTTAACAAACTATTTACTTGATGGTAGACCGAGATTCTTATGAACTTGATGAAAATTAAGTCGAAAGATTATTTTTCCTGGGTTAAGCAAAGATAGGAATGTAAATGAAATAGAGGAAAGTACCTCAGATTTGAGCTTCTCATTCTCCTTGACAACAGAATCATGGTTTGAAGCAAGGGAATCATAAGAGGATTTGAGGAGATCATAGTCCCTCTCAAGCTGCTTCGTCTTCCACCTTGCACGGCGGTTCTGAAACCACACAGCCACCTGTCTCGGCTGCAGGCCCAGCTTCTTTGCCAACTGGGTCTTCCTCTCAGGCTCCAGTTTGTTTTCTTCCTCAAAGCTCTTCTCCAGCAAATGAACCTGTGACCCCAGAAACAACCCATCAAATTATATAAAAGTGCAACAAAATTCGTCATGTCTTGCTGATCAAAAAAAAAAAAAAAAAGAAATTCGTCCTGTCTCACATGATTCAACCATGGATTTCCGGTTTTTTTTTTCTTTTTTCAAGCAAATTTGTACCATGATGCTACTTGAATATGTGCCCAAATCTATAACAGGAACGAACAATATCTAAAGGTGGTGGAATATGTTCATAGTTTCTATCAAAGCTTGCTAGAAATGTCAAATCGGTTTTACAGTCAGGTGGTTAGCCAGTCACTGACCTGATCCGGCGTAAGGCGGCGCTTCTTCTCTGGTAATTGCTCGTCGTAATATTCCTCGTCGTACAAGTCCTCCGCCGAGCTGAAGAAGGGCCGCCTCTTTGAGGTCTCCTCCATGCCAATCATCGGCCTTGCCCCTTGTACAAAACAAAATCAAATAAATTTAATCGAAAACCAATAATAATAATAATCGTCTGCAAGATTGAAAACTAAATCATGATTCCTGAGAAAAGACAATAAAATTTACCTCGATAAACACCGTCACCGCTTCCGAGGAACAACAGCTTGCCGTGGCAAGCTGAGGGATCGAAAAAAAGACGGCCTGACTCCATCATAATTAAAGCTTTTCCTTCTATCCTTTCTCCGACTCTATCTATACGGGTAGGGTAGCTATAAAAATCTTTGTCCAAGATTCCGGCGGCTTCCGCCGTCGAAGACACGAATATTAATTAAGGTGGTAACGGAAAACTTTACACACACAGACTCTGTGTAGTAAAAACTAAAAGATCATGAGCTTGTGGCGGAAGAAGCTAGTAGTCCAGAGCAATCTCGCCGGAGTTTCTAAAGGACATATGCAAAATCCCATCACGCCACTCTCACCGCGACCACCACCACCCAGCGTAAATTCAGCAAAATTCGATCGATTATCTGAATTTCCCGCGAACAGAAATGCTTCTGCTGCTTCAAGAACCAGGATTCAGCTACTGTTTAAGGGGAGGAAATAACGAGAGAGAAAGACAGAAGAGGCGGAGGAAGCGGTGTCTCCGTCGCGCTCGGCGTCGCTTCAAGGTGTTTTTTGCAGCTAAAGGTTCGTTAAGGGGAGACCCGGCACGTCTTATAGTGATGTCCGTTACAATTTAATGACGAAAACAGCCTTGGCAGATTAAAGATTCGATTTTAAAAGCGGGGGTGTCTCGGTAATTCTGATTGGGGCATTTTCGGATTTATGCATCTGCTGGCGTCGGTAGTGGGCCATTTAGGTGGAGGTCGCTAACTTGCGCAGGGTGTGTAAGGCAAGTAAAGGTTGGATAGATATGGACCGTTGATTTAAAAAATTTAAATTGGAGGGTGGTGATGTGAGGGGAGACATGGTAGCGTGCGCCAGAGTATTTAATAGCAACCATACTCTGCGGTCGGGGCGATTGTCGGATCTAGTTGACCTCCAGATTGTTCGGTGCTTTCAACGGTTTTGATGCTCTCTGTTGTTACCGTCCAGAATTTTACTATTATTATCATTATTATAAGAGATTGAGGAAAATCAAAACTTTTTAATAATAAAAAAATTAAAATATTTTTAAAAATTAATGTATAAAAAAATTTATTAACAATATTTGAATAATTTTATAAAAAATTTTGATATTTAAGTACTAAAATATTTTGATTTTTACTTTTATTATAATAATAATAATTATTATTATTATTTAGTATTTACTTCAAAACCATTAAATTTGTTAAACATTCTCAAGTTATTTTATTTTACAGTAATTTTTAAATATAATTTTTAAAACACAAGAAATTTTTTACACTTGAAAATAGACTATAAATAATTTGCACAAATTACCTTTAAATATTCACTTGAAACGCATTACATAATAACCTCTACAGGGTTATTTGCATGGAGACTTTCTATACAAAACACAGACCATCAAATTGGGGAGCCCACCCTTGCATTTAGGGAACCCGTCCCTATACTAAGATGGAGTGATGGTTTATTTATTTTAATAGAATGCAATTTATATGTAATTACCTTAAAACTTCACTAATATTCTTTTTCTTTTACCCCAATATAAGAAAATGTTTTTTTTTTTTGAACATAGGGAAATTTTAAGGAATAAAGAATTTTCTTTTTAAGTTTATTGATGAAAATTAATTTTTTGATTAACTAAAATTAAATATTAAATATTAAAAACGAATCATTGAATCGAAAACCGATTTCAATATAAGAAAATGTTTGAGGCAGGAAGGAAATAGATGGCATGGATGACATCACAAAGGTACGGTGGGGTTTGCAACTTTGATAAATTGATGGCTAATTAAATATGAATCATCAAAAGTTGGACACGTAGAATCGTATAGTAGTTTTTTAATTGTTGATGTCAATTTTGTGAGTCATAGTGCCTTGCATTTAAGAGGAACATTGATGTACTTTCTTCGATGCTTGAATGATTCAATGGTTCCTATAATGCGGTTTCTATTTTCCCATTAAATAAAAGCAAACAAATTATAGAGTGATTACTATTTTATATATTTTTTGAAAAGTTCAAACATCTTAATTTTTTGGCTCCCTATTGAGTAGTCCTTATGGGTCATGCTTGATCTCTATTTTTTTTTTTTTTTATAAGGGTAATGGTTATGAAATTAGTTTAAATTAATGATTAGTAACTGGGAATTCAATCTTTAGATCAGATGAACATTTAACCCTTTCAAATGAAACGTGCGGCCATTGGACTTTTTTTTGGTGGAGTTCACAGTAATAAAGCTTGAAATTCTGATCACCTCACCTAAGCACCTAAAGTTTAGGGTCAAACCATTAAGTTTAAAGGCCCGATTCGATCTCTATTTCCTTTTGGTTAGGCCATAATCAACCTCAAGTCCCTTTCTTAACTTTCTTATCATTTTAGAATATTGATAATATCTCTTTAATTTTTTTTAATCACTACTTTTGATTATTACAATATAATTTTTTTAAATGACACCTATAAGATATTCATAGATGTAAATATGAATTTTCGTTAAAAAACTTATGAAATGTTAAAAAATAAATCATTTTTTATTTTTATTTTTCAAATTTCTTGATCAATTTAGAAGAAAATAAAATTTCTAGGTTAGATGATAACAAATCAATAGTTAATGGATCAAATATCACATTAACCCATAAGTTATTTGCTTTCAAATCAAAACAAATTCCTTTTTATATATTCTCCGAATAAAAATAGAACCCTAAACTTTTTTAAATGAAGAGGAACATGGATAGAAATTTTGATATATTTAATTTTATATGGATTAATGGTTAGGTATTTTGTCATGCTAGATGCTATTATTAGCTACCCATATGGGCAACCTTTGAATTAATTTTGATTCTCTAGAGAAGGGATAAATATTATGTGAGTTTTAGATATTAATTGTAAATGGAATAAATTAATACAAGCTAACCTATCAACTAAGAAGGTGTGGTAGCTCAAGCAAAGCTAGAGAAAGTGCCACACAGCATAAGTCTTCACTTTCCTCCAGTTTCATTAGATTCCAAGGTTTGCTTAGTGCAACCACCCATCACTTAAATAATATATTATATCTGAAATAATACTTTAAGTTTTTTTTTATTAATTTACATTTTGTAATTGAGAATTATAGATATTTCAGTAATAAATAACCAGAATATATTGTTCTAAATTATACCCTGAAAAAGTATACAACAAAGTACAATTTAATTTTTTCTTTTGGGTATTATCAAAGTACAAATTGACTTGGAAAGCATCAATCTTAAGAAAATATCCAACCAACCATGCAGATGTACATCTTGTTCTGTTGATTAGCTCATTAATTATTTTTACATGATTGTGTTATTATGTGTATATTTTCTAGTGAAAAACATGAAATTCTGAATCTGAATTCTACGATGGCTAGGTGATGAGATAAGTAAAGATATAAAAGATGATTGTGTGAACTAAAAGTTGATCAAGTCATTCAAATTCTACAAAAGGATATATGAAATTAAGGTTTTTTTTATTTTATATAATATAAATATTTAAACTTTTAACTTAACTAATCCTATACTTACTTGAGATTCAGTTTTGCTAAATTTTTCTTTCTATTCTATTCCTAAATAAAAAAAACAAAGAGATATAAATGGAGGTATAAGTATAACAAATGGTGACCACAGCTTGGAGATATATGGTTCTGATATGTGCTATTCAGACTCACTTGGGCTGCTGCACTAACAGGACAACCACATTGTTAAGGGACCCAGAGAATCAAAACTCCTTTTTTTTTTTTTAGTGGGAGTAAAAGAAACACCTAGAAAACCCATAACCCAAGTAAATATTTATCAAAAAGTAAAGAAAAAGACACCATTTTAAAAAATAAGAATAATATTGATATAAAAAAATTTAGTCAACAAACTCACACCAACAGAAAGAGTGATGATCATCCACTGATTTTTGGTACCACAAACAAAAGGGTAGGCATCAATTTTCTTAATCGAAGAAATCACTATCATGATGTCATTGGTTTATGCCTTAATTAAAGATAAATATATATACACACACATAGCAATTTTGCTTATGTAAAATATGTAGAATTCAAGGCACCCATTTGGTGCTAGTTGCCAAGATTCCCCCTTTCATGTGGAAACCCCTAATTTTGTGGGTGAAATGAAAAATTGACTTCTTAAAAGGGTATAGATTAAGGGATCCATAAGAGAACTAGGGCTTTAAAAGTTTGCTATCTTTTACATATGATCTTAGGAAATTGAAGTGCTAAGTTGTCATTTAAGAACCATTTCTATGCTTGGTTTAAACGTAACTTAAAAAGAAAACAAAAAAGTGATAAATACCCAACTTCCATGTGTTGGCCATTTGGACAAGAATATTATCTAATTTTATATATCTATCTATTTATCACTACCCCCATTAAAATAATAAGAAAGTAAAATAAGGACTTCCCATCCTAAGAAGGAATGGGTTTCCCTTCTCCCTAAAAGATAACAAAACCCTAAAGAATCTTTTCTAGGCAAGATTTGAGCAATCTGTAAGCCTTTTATCAGCTCAATATTCTCATCTTCTAGGCATCATTTCTCACTCAATTAATGGAATCAAGGAAACAAGCTATCATTACTTTTTCTTTTTTCCTCTATTGCATGCACTTAATCTCCCAACCAATTCCCACTTTGCATTTGTTTTCTTTAATTGAGATTCCCCATGCACCTGGACCGGCATTCGAAGTATTGGGATTGGCAAAAGTATAAAGGTTAAATGAACCCTCAAGCCCAAGCTTTATGGCTTGGGGTGAGGCGGAGGTCAACGCCGTAAATTTCACCAACTTGTAATTTAATGGTCGCGCGCCTCAAATGAGGGGTGGAAGGTTTACTTTCCTGAAAAAATTTCAGCTGCTAACAAACTAACTCTACTAACTTCCTAACTTGGTCAAAAAAAAAAAAAAAAAAAAGAACCCTCAAGCAAATTAATCAACAGATACAATTAAAAGTAATAAATTGAACCCATTTGAGCTTCTAATTAGAGGGGGAAAAAAAGTTATGTCCGTTTTTTTAAGTTGACGTTTCTAGTGTTTGCACAAGTGTTAAGTTAACAATTAATTACTTTTGATAAGACTCCTACAGTTTTAAAACATTAATTATCCTTAATTTTTTAATCCATTAAAAAAAATTCATCATTTTTTTAATTTAGACAGCAATAATGTTTTGGAGAATGATAATTATTTAAAAAGAATGAACTTTTTATTAGAATGACAATTCCAAAGGAGAGGGAGTAGAAGAATCAAGGGTTAATACAATGGCGGGTTTTGGGAGAATATTGAGTTATTCTCTTTCTCATATATGCATAGAAGGATGGTTGCTTTTGTTATTTAATTCCTTCACACCTAAGGTGAGGGGAGGACTAAAATGGTGGGATATTATCTTTTGACTTGAAAAGGATTTGTCATGGGGATTTTTTTTGTTTTTTTTGTTTTTTTAACTTTTGTTCTGTCCTTGTTTAGCTTTAATTTAAAACAAAAGGTGGGGATGATAGGAGTGGTGAACTTGGGAATTCATGTGTAGGGAGAAGGGGGAGATTGAAAATCTACAAAAAGTAGGGTACCTGATCACAGGAAGGAACAATACTTCTTAAATGCTTTTGGGTCACTGCGTTTCCATGTACATGGTTCTTAAAAAGGTGGGAAAATGGCGATGATAAAAGTGGAAGCATATCCCAAGTGCTGCTCCTTTCTTTCTCTTATCTTTTTTTTTTTTTAAATGCTACAAGAATACTATGATCAAAGTATTCCAATTTCTTTTACATCCCTCTCATTAGGACCATTCATCAAGATAGGATGTATTAAACCAAATTACGACAAATGTGTCTTTGTTCATAACTATTCAATCTCAACATCATGTAATAGACACGTTCTTCTTAATTTCTTATTTAAAATAATGTAAAATTGAATGTGCGATTTATCTTTGATTTCCTCTCTCTTTTTTTATTATATTTTACTTTTTGGATGCTTCTTTTTCTTATTGAGGAGATTATTTAAAATTATCTATGAGTTCACAAACTGTTACTTTTTTTGGGTAAAAGATGAATCTAGCCATCTAGATGGGTAGGAAGTTGTTACAATCCAAAATCACTTAGGAATATATATGTACTTTTTTTTAAAGTATGAAGTGCATGGTACCAATTACATTCAATTCATAAACAATGTATTAAATTAATTCTCTAAATTTTAAATAAAATAACAATAATAAGTAGAGTAGTGCTAGGGGCACTCGCCTCTTGCACTCTTCGGCCAACACTTTCACTCTTATTGGGCCACGTTATTTTCCGTCAATGAGAGGTTGTAGTTCAAAGCATTAAACAAGCTTATGTGGCCCAATGAAAGGGGAAATGTTGGCCGGAGAGTGCAAGAGGCGAGTGCCCCTAGCACTTCTCTAATAAGTAATAAACAAACACCTCAATGGAGTAACTCAATGGTTAAAAGTTTGAAATTCTAAATTGAAAATATTAAATTCGAATCTTGAGTTGAGTAGGAAGAGATTTGAGAATAAAAGAGGACTATTCCTTCTTGTATAATTCAGAATCAAATGTGTAAAAAAAAAAAAAAAAAGTAACAAACAAACGAGAAAAGCCCAAGGGTTGAAAGTGAAACTAGGAGGAGTATATTTATTTATTCACACAGAAAAAGAAAAGGAAAAAGATTAAAGTGGATTGGGCTGAAATGATCACGCCCAGATTAACTTATTAAGAATTTGAATGTGTGATGTAGCTTGTAGGCCCAAATTTAAACCGAAAATAGAGATTGGGTTAATGGGCTTTCGTAACTCAACCTTACTGAGGTATGGGTCAAGTCTCTAGAAGAGGCCGCGAGTTCCTCTTCACACCCAATAACACATTGTTCTATCAAAATTTCGTGTTTTCCTCTAGTTCAGATGTGGCTTCAGCTTCCATTGAGAATAGACTATAATAAATTTGCCTTTAAATGGAATAATGTTGTCTAATTTTCATATGAACAATGACTCTTCATTCCAAACCCCTTGGTACTTATCTTAAAACACGAAATTAAGATATCGAATATCAAAATTCAAGTTCTTAACTATAAAATTGTCATACAATTGAAGAAACACAGCTCAAAAAATGGGATATAGTTTGAATATCCAGGAAGGTAGGAGACCAAAAGGCCTGTCTTATACATTGTGCTTGTGGAAGAAAAGGAGATCATATTGCCTAAACCAAAGCACCAGCAATTGCTGCCTCCAGCAAAGTGCCACGAGCTGTGAATATCAATACTTCATTTAAGTCAATCATGGTGGTCCATTTAAAGTGTCTAGCTATAAAAGCTTTTCCCAGTCATTGTCTAATTAAATCTACCCATAACTTAGATTAAACTACCACTGCCTTTGACCAAAAAAGAGCAGAGAGTAGGGTACCGAGGATCATGTGATGTGCATGAAAATTAGGCACACAAACAGCAAATCCAACATGTGAATTTAATCACGACGATGATGTAAAATTAAAACAAAATTGATAATAATAATAATAATAATAATAGGAGGAGGAAAAGGGTTCATTTCTTTAGAGAACTAAAAGAAAATGCGTTTTGAACTAAAACACCATAATTTACTTCTTCTTTCCCCATTTTGCGTTTAAGTAGCAGAGCCCCTCCTCTTTCTTCTACAATCTTCCTCTTCCTCTTCTAATTCTTCTTTCCACTCTCAGAATCCTTAAAGATGGTTAGCACTGAGCTTGCCCGGAATATTGTAGGAATCATCGGTAATTAAGTCTCTTTTCTAATTTGTTGGAGTATATATAACATTATAAGCTAGGTCTGGGATTTTTCTACTATGTATAAACTAATGTTTAACATTCTGTCTTACAGGAAATGTTATCTCCTTTTTCTTATTTACATCCCCAATGTAATATTCTTCCTACTATGTCTTGGTTTTAAATTTTGAACAATTTTTAATTTATTTTCCAAAGCCATATATATCTATGATACTAATTTATTCACTTTTTTGGTTTATAGACCAACTTTTGTCAAGATTTATAAGAAAAAATCAGTGGAGCAATTCAAACCAGACCCTTACATAGCAACAGCCATGAACTGTATGCTATGGGTCTTCTATGGCCTACCAATTGTTCATCCTGATAGCATCCTTGTAGCCACCATTAATGGCACTGGACTCATTTTGGAGGTTATTTATCTCACCATTTTCTTCATCTACGCTGAAAACAAAGCACGAGTAAGTATATTTTCACCTATTCATATATTGATATCTATTAGTTTAAAATTATTTATTTATATATATTTTTTTTTTCTCATGCAAGTTTTTTTTGTTTATGACCTAAATTTGATTAATTGCAGCTCAAAGTCATTGGCTGGTTCATTCTTGAACTTGTATTTTTGGGCATCGTGGCGACATGCACATTGTTGTTTAGAAAAACACATGAGCAAAGGTCTACTATTGTTGGTATCCTTTGTGTCATATTTGTAGTTCTAATGTATGCTTCGCCTCTCACGGTCATGGTAAGCTTAATTAAATTTGGTACATGTCTATAAATAGGGCTCTATTGTTCCTCTATCAATTTCAATTAATTAGATTTTTTTTCCTTTAATTTTTTTAATTTGTGTATTTTGTTGACAGTGGAGGGTGATTGAAACAAGAAGTGTGAAGTACATGCCATTTTTTCTTTCACTTGCCAACTTTCTTAATGGAGTTATATGGGTAACATATGCCCTAATTCGCTTCGATCTTTATATCTTGGTAAAATTCAAATTCCTTAACTGTTCATTTGTTATAGGGAAATGATCTTTCCTAAAAATGATAAGTAATATGAGTCAAAAATGTTATGTATTAGGATATTGATTAAAAAATTATATGTATACTCTCTGTTTCAACACATTTCACAACATATTTATTAAAAATTATTATTTTTAAATTTAGATTAAAAATGATAAAACAATGAGTATTGATAAGTGTATTAAATCAAAAAATCTATTAATTATTTTCCTTTATATATTATTCATGAGTTGCCATATATACCTGTTAAGATGTCATTTTGGATGAACCATTAGGGACCATTGGCAATGATAATGATATAAATAATTGGTTGTTAATTTGCTTTGTTGTAGATTGGGAATGGTTTAGGAGCAGCTTTTGGAGCAGCACAGCTAATTCTATATGCATGCTACTACAAAACTACCCCTACAGATGAGGAAGATGTCAAGCCAACGGCCGAGTCCCAGGCAGAGTTGCAGCTCTCTACTCGCAATGGAAAATTAAGCTAGATTTACACCTTTTAAAAAGTTTATTATCAAAGATATAATTATATGTATTTACTTAATCCTTCTTTAGTAAAATTATAAAGTATCCCTATTTATACAAAATTTCTAATGTACATTTACTTATTCCATCTTCAGTGAGATTGTAAAGTGCTCTTATTTGTATGTAATTTCTAATGCATTTCTAGCTTCTATCTTTATTTGTACGAAAATTTCTAATATACTTTTACATTAATTATTTATCATATTACAAAAAATTTAACTTTATTTTTTAATTTTTTTAAAAATAATATAAATAAATATATAATTTATTTCTAAAATATTTAATTTTAAAAAAAATTAAGACAAATAAAATACCGTCTTAAACAAAAAAACACACTACTAGGAGTTAGAGATGATATGGATCGGTTTAACATTTTCTTGGTGTGGCATTATTAAACATGCCCGTTTTTACATAAGGTGAAAAGACATTGCTTGATTGGGCTTAGGGTGGATTTTAATGCCTGTGTGTTCTTTGGACCTTGTAGACTTGTAGTGACGAAGTGGGTATTATTCACGGCCCAAATGTCTTAGACGAGAAGTATCCCATGTCAAATTTCCTTAAGCCATGGGCCTATGCTACAAACTAAGAATAACTTTGTCCGTTCTTCGCCGAAAAATAAAAGCAACGATTTTATTTATTTATTTTTATGAAATAATACTAGAAACTACATACTGTTTTAAAATCTCCCATCTAGTCACGTGACACAGATAAAATTACGAAGATATGTCACTCACTTTTCTCAAAGTGAAAAAGAGAGATTTTTGATAACTCTTATTACTTTCAAATATGAAACTTGATTGCAAGTTGATGGAAGAGCACCAGTTAAATAGATTATGAAATACGTAGATGATTATAGTAGAAATAGGGGTGTATTCATGCATAGAGATCCATAAATAACTACCCTGAAAGAATAGTAGGGGCTTCCCACAACTAGAGTCAAAATGTTAGTTTGTTGATCAAAATAAAAGAGAAAAATAAAAAAAAAAAGAGAAGAAAGAGAGTGCATAGCAAGATAACTAAATTGCAGAGAGAAAGCATGATGCCGCCATGAAAGCATGTAAGCATAAATAATGAAATAAAGGTTGAAACATAAAACTAAACTTAAAGGAAGTTTGGAAAATGAATTTAGAGTAAAATGCAATAAATTAAATTACAAGAAATCATATGCATTAGTGAAGATGTTCAAAACAAAAACAAAAACTAGAGTTAAAGTTAAGGGCAGTGTAAAGTTAAAGGCTAAACTAGGAAAGCTATTTAAAAAAGCTAAACCTAAACTAAAACATTATTTATGAAACTAAAATATAGATAGCACTAAGTTAACTGTGTGAGAGGTAAGTCTTCCTTTCTTGATCTTTTTGTCAAGTATTTATAGCACTTTAGTAGCATGGTAGAGTTTTGTTGGCAATATCTTAAAAACTAATGATAGCATGAAATCTATAATAACCTCCTAAATAAATGACAATAAGGTATAAAGTTGCAACCAAATCCTAAAAGTTAATGACAACATGTTGAAAATTTGCAACAAACCAACTAATTTGCTAATTATGTGATAACAACCGTCCAAGTTAACCTGAAGATAAGACTGTAGCTACTAACTCTTAACTCCTTCAAATTCAGAACAAATGGCATACATGACTACTTCTAATTAATATGCAAAAATAGATGTAAACACTACCTGTTCAAATATATATATATATATACTAGAAACTATTGATGGCCAAATTTTTTTTTAAAAAAAATAGTAGGAACTTCTTTTTTGTACATACATAGATCTTTGGGATTAAATTTTAAACTTATAATTTAAAAATACATATAACTTTATCATTAAACTACATTAAGTAGAAACTACTACTATGTTATTCTAGTTATTAAATAAAAGGATAGAACATGTCTAAATTAATAGTGATACATGCAAATTAATTCTACTCTCCACTTTAAATTAATGTAGAATAAAATAAGGATGCATTATCACTTTTGTTTAATTGTGATTAAAGATACTTCATATATTTCAATTACGGAGCATTATATTAAATAAATTTTTTTATAATCATAAATGGATAAAATAAGACAATATCAATGGTTTAAATAGTTTAATAATAATTTCTTTATGATGAAAATAAAAGTTTTAAAGTTCAAGTTGAATGGTATATGTATAGAATTAATTAAGGGAATGGAAAAGGTTGTTTTTTTTATTGTGTAACTCATAATAATAATAATAATAAATTAATAAGACAACTAAATAAGACAACTAATTAAATTAAATCAAATTCCGAATGATTGTGTATTATTTTAAAAATTACTATCCAAAATCATTTGTGATTGTCAATGAAAAATTAAGTTAGATTCAAAGTCAAATTACAGTTAGTTACAAAGAAATATTCCAAAACCAAACCACCACCGATTCACTTGGGAAACAAGTAGTTGAAGCTTTTCTTTATTTTATTATTTTTTTGATAGAATGTTCTTTATTTTGGTGTAGCACTATTCAATCAAAATTGGTATATTATAAGAAATTATTTCTTAGTAGACTTTTTAACAATCAAATCTTGATTTTAAAAAAATACGGTATAAAGTGAGAAACAAATTAACCTGTTATGGAGTAACAAGTAATTCATTGAATCATAATTCAGTTAGAAAAATGGTTTAATTTTTTATTCAGCACGTGAGAATTATACTCATGCTATAATTTAAAAATTCTTTATATTATAATTTAAACTGCATTAAATAATAAAATATAAATTATTAAATTAAAGACAATTTATAATATTAAAATAATTATACTTTCATCAAATAATTTTTTTAGTATTAACTTTTTGATATCAAAAAATCATACTGGATCCCGATTAATTTACAATTAAACCGTGTTAAATCCCATGAAGGGAATCTCTTTTAATGCCTATTTTTTTATTTATAAGACTTCAATTCAAGATATTACTTGAAAATCGTATTCCTTTTACTTAGATTAATAAATCGTTAATTCATCAAATAATTTTAATTATGTAGTCAAGACTGTACTAATATTTTTTTTGGTTGGAATAGAAGGATCTCAATTATTTTCAAATAAGATTTTAAATTTGAATCTTATAAATAAAAAAATAAGTACTAAAAGAATTTCTTTTTATAAAATTTAATACAATTCGATTTCAAATAAATTTAACATAATTTTTGAATATCGAGATGTTAATATTAAAAAATATATTTTTTTTAAACTTCTCCTAGTGTATATCATATTGTAATATCTAAATAACTCGTAGACCAAATCATAAAAGAAAATTAAAATTACTATAAATAAAACTTTGAGAGCAAGATTCGCGCCCGATTAGTTCCGTTTGGACCAATGGTAGTCCTGGTAATTTGTCCCTAAAACGAACCCAAATATCGTAGCAGCCAAAACCACTTAGAACGGTTTAATTGCCGCGTTTCACTCAACCCACCAACCGCAACCATTCCATCAATATATTCCCACGAACGCATTCCGTACAGTAGTATCCCCTCTTACTCCCGATTTTTCTACAACTAAT